TACATCTGTGTAACTCCATTAACTCCCTATTGGAATGACACAGTTTTGAACCCTTGCAGTTTAGACTAAAGTCCTTTGTCTAATTTTTGTGGCACACCTCAATCCATGTGAGTTGTTATCTAACCACTGAAATATAAAACTATTTTCAGTGTTATTCATGATGCTTACTGTTCTTTGCCATTTTGGATTAGACAAAAATGTACCTCTTTAAATAAAATTTGTTTCTTCAGCTATATTGCAGCTAGGACTGTGACTTGCTAGAGACCTGGTTCCAGTCCAGATATCCTTAAGGCTAGGGACAGACATTACACACAAACCAGTTTAAGTGATCAGGAACTAGTTTAAACCTGTAATAGAACAGATGTTCAGTGCACACAAACGAGTGTGAAAATGGCTGAAACTGGTTTTGAGAAAAACCTGGTTGAATGTAGCAGCATACTTAACAGATCTGGATCAAACCGGTTTATGTAATGTCTGACCCAGACCCCTTCCTGGTTTAAGTTAAACAAGAGTCACTCAGCATCCCAGATGCTTTGTAGCCCTGGGCAGGGAGCTCTGCTCCAGAGAGCTGGGCTGGCCCACCCCCCCTGCTCCCTGGCTGAAGCTCCAGCAGTGACAGCAGGCACAGCAGTGTCTGCCTGACTTCCTTCTGTCCCCCCACCACCACCCCACCACAGCACGGACCATAGCCAGCATGTGGTATGCTAGCTAATGCTGAGAGGTGTCTGTATAAGGCAGAGAGGACAAAGGCAAACAGAACAGTGTCCGCTTATGGCTTTTTGGAGCTAATCAACAGGTCAGCTGGTAATGTCCCTCCATTCCTTCCTTGGAAAAAGTTAAAGATGTCTCATTAGTTCAAGCTCTTCTTAGAGAGGCATTTTTCTTGTGTAACTCCCTGCTTTGTAACTAAATGCTGTGCATCTCATTGCTGACTCCCTCACTGGTGTGGAGCAGCAGGCACCCCTCCCTAATCAGAGTGTCCTGCTGGGAGCTGGCCACAACCCCCTCAGCTCAGCACTTTGGATGGGAAGGGAGGGCTGCTCTAGTGCCCACCGGCTTCTAACCTGAGCCACTCCATACATTTCTGGGATGTCTGTGCAGTTACAAACTGATTCAGCCTAGTCAGGTTAGACTAACCTGCAAAGATTGACTCAGTTCAGGCTCAGGCCTTTTGAATGTCTGTCCCTAGCCTAAGAGACACTGGCATTGGGTTTAGAAACCCTAGTGGAATGTTCTGTTACTGTGGTTGTATAGCTGCTGATACCTAAGGTAGTGTACTCAGAGCCAGCAGAATTATTTCTGTATAGCAGTGCATTATACTGTTTAGCTACCCCCTTATTATTGGTTCGTGGGCTCTGTGGGTTTTGTCGTTATGGAAGCTTGTTTGATCAATGTCCCACTAGTGATGATATGCTTACTTCCAGGGTCAGAATGAAGTAGAACAAACTTGTAAAAAAAAATCCATAGTTCAGATTTAGGCAACAGCTAGACATAAACATATTTTCCCTTCTCATGCTCCATGTATTGTAATTTTCACCATCATTATTTGAGCCTGTCTATTCATTGTGGGGAAGCTGTACCTTTACGCTGTTGCTCATTGCTTTCTTCAGCCAATTAAAATCATATAGCTCCTTCAGAATTTACCTCTTTATTTGTTTTCTCCTGTTGTTTGGGGGTTTTTTTCATTTTTTGATCACAGCTCTTGTTGTATCTATTACCTAGTGCTAAAAGTTACCATTCCAGTATACATTCAATCCATCTTCCATTCCCTCTTTCCAAAATAGACTATCTTTTTCATAATCTGAAGGAAACTTTACTTTGGTTATATTTTTCTAGATAATTTTCATAAGCATATTTACCTCTTCATAACTTCTAGCTTCTTTCACTTCTCTTTATTGAGTTTCCCTATTTGTTTCAGCCATTAAAAAAAATTCATGCCTGTTTTTTAGTGCTTGCCTCACAGCTTCAGTTTTCATAGAATCAAGTCTCTAATAGTCTGCAAAATGCTTGTTGTACTTGCTGAACATCAGAGAGTGGTTGACTGTCTGTCCATGATTTATGAACTGTTCATGATCTCATGCTTGATTAAATTCCTGAAGTGAATACATCAGCTCTTATATGAAAACCTTACATCACACTGACAAACAGGTCGAGAGCATGAGATTCTTATTTCTCCTCTTATGAAGGAAAACATCCAAGGTGCAACATGAATAATTTTATTTTGCTTCTGATATTTAACAAAGTAATATAGGTTGTTGCCATCCCTACCACCCAGTAATAGTGTGTCAGGGATAACTTGCTCTCACTTTTTGTATTTTCCTCATCCATATTCTTGTGTGCATAAAATTCTTTGGCTTTGAGTGTCTGGTGACTTTCTGTTATCTTTTACATTAAAGTACTGTTCTGTAAGGCTATTGAGTTCTCTTTACTTCCTTTATCTTCCTTTTCATCTTTTTACATACAGTACTGATATAGTGATTTGTGTGTGCATGCGTGTATATGTGCATGTACATGATCCTTCTACCAAATGAGTCTACTTAGAACTGAACTTCTAGCAACAAATCCTTTCAAGCGTTAGTTTGCCTCAGTGATTTCTTAGGAAGTTCAGTACTGTGCATCCTAGTCTCCCCATTCTACTTCTGAAGAGAGTAGACAACAGTTACACTGTTGTTTTTTGATTAATCTGGCATTGTTTTGGCTTAAATCCTTTCTCACAATCTTTTTCTTCATCAGCTTTCTTGTTTTCTCAACTTAGACTTCATGCCTAACAGTTTCTGTATATTTGGTACTGGACAGCTTTTCCTATGACTTCTGGTTTCTGCAATCCTCTTATCAATGAGCCGTTGTTTTTTCATGTTTTTTTCCAGTTGGCATCATATTTATTATTGTAGGGCAGGCTGTTGCATTTATGACTTTTTGGGGGTTTATTGCCAGATTTTTTTTATATTTTATATTTTATTTTATACATAAAGCTATCTCTCAGTCTCCTCCTGTACTTTAAATCCATAAAAAAGTTTGTCTTGTTTTTCATGGAGCCCTTAGGACAGACTGCACCAAATCCATGTTTATAATATACATTTTTCCCTACTCAGGAATGTGTTTCTTGTTATCTTCATAAGGGCCACATGTCTCTCTTTATTGTTGTCCTGCTTCAAACTGTAGAAGTCTCTCTTAAAAGGTCTTAATTTACTACTTCTGTAGAAAATCTTGTTCCTAATGTAAGTAACTTGTGGTTGGACTCTGAACTTGATTCATCAGATTCCATACACAGTTATCTGTCTGTCTGGTGACTTGTCATTGAATTCTGTTTCTGGATAGTCTGGCATACCTAAAAGTCAACTCCACCAGATCTCCCATTTGTTTAATTGTAGTAGTAGTAATAATAATAGTGCTAGTAATAGTGATAATAATATCACAGTAGTGCTAAGATACTACCATTGTGGCCTCAGTGCTTGGTCCTACCACAAAGATCTTAAAAACTTGAAAGCAAAATAAAAGAAGACTAGAAAGGAAAACTAGGAGAAGAGAAGAGTGGTCTTATGGTTTAAGACTCTATTGTTCTTCTTGTAGTCTCCTATAGTATGTTTCCTTACTAGATAGTAACCTACAGCCATTATAGAACCAGTCAGACTGAAATATTTCACCTTTTGTACCAGCAGTTTTTTATCCTAAAAAATTATTTTCAAAAAGAGTGAATTGTATTTCTTGTTGTTGCAGCCCCAACTGTATGTTCAACTGGAATACTTGCCTTCCATTTTTATTTCATTTTTTCTTGTGGATGGTAGAGTACTTGATCATTATTACCATATGAGATATAACTTTACAGAGTACTAAAGTATGGTACCCTTGAGTCTGATACTACCTACTAAGAAACTTTATGAAGTCCCTCTCACCTTCTTTTCCTTTTTCATGTCCTTGTGACAAGGTACTTAGCAGAATTTGCAGATTCATTGGAATCTGACTGGGCTGCACCATGAGTGCTTCTGCTATGGCCTTGAACTTGCAACTTTTGGGCTGTCAACAGTATCAAGGTGAATTGACCTAATCAAAGAATTGGTTGTGTTTTTGCAAAAAAAAGCACGAACTCAAGTCCTTAAATCTAGGTATTGCATTTTTAGTTGTGCAGTAAGCTTCTCTGCAAAATTGTCAAAATGAAGGTTTGGGGTTGTGTTTAGAAGTTTCTTTAAAAGAATAATTTCTCTTCTGCTGAGAAATGTGTGTGCTGCCTTTCAGGCCAAGTTTAGTGATGGTGTGATCCAAACCCTTTGAGATCAATGGAGAAGCTAACAGACTTAGGATCAATCTAATGGACTTAACTTTAAAAAAAATGGGACTCAACCTGTGTAGACAGACTTTCAATAGGAAATTTGGGGGTTTTCAGCCGTTGAAAGCATGTTTAGGTTTCTAAATATGTATTTAGGAACCTAACCTTAGGCTCTTTTTTTCAAAATCTCACAGCTAGATTTTATAATGTAGGTTGAGATTGAGATAAGTATAGGTTTGGATATGTGGAAATGACACTTGCTTTGTCTGTGGAAGACTTATTTCATCACTAGTATTGCATCCTGCATTTTTTCTTCCCAGCAATAACCACTCTGCTTTTTACAGAACAGAAATGCCAAAGTGCAGACTGTTGCCCTATCTTATTCTTTCCTTAAGCGTGATTACAAAGAAAGAAAAATATCAAGGCTTTGGTAGGATTTACAAAACTAGCCTGGAAAACTGTTGTACATATTTGACTTTAAACATTGTAAAATAACCTGAGCTAATACCATCTTGGCTTGAGATGAGACATTTGAGTCCTAAACATTGATCTGGCCTGTGTGACATTTAAGGACCATCACCCCAGAATCCGCTCTTTACTTACATGTAGAAGAAATTTGCAGGGTTTTGTCTGACCAGTATGCAAAAGGAAAGGGCATTCTCTAAGCCTTGTTTAACAACTAAGCATTGCTTACAGTACTCTTTATTTTTCCCCACCCTACCCCCTCCTTTTGTAGAATCACATCGGGAATTCCTTCACAGGCCTGCTTCTGGATATGTGCCAGAGGAGATCTGGAAGAAAGCTGGTAAGAATTGTTTAAAAACATGAGCTTAGCATTCTGGCAGCTGTGTGCAGTTGTTAATGCACTGATGTGAGGAATAAAAAGAAAGGGCTCACTAGTAACAAAAAGATATTGTATTTAATAATCTTAAACTGGAACTGATCAGTACATGAAATAATCTTTATAATAGAAGCATCTGCCTCTACAGTTGAGGGTTATCAATACCGCTATTAAACACCTCTATTTTCAAGGGTTATAATGGCTTCAGGCTGAAATTTGATACAGTATATCTTCAGTCTGTGAGCAATTTTTTAAAATGGCATTATTTAAGTTTCAAGATTTTTCAAGCCTATTAGACTCACAGGAGGAACAAATAAATGCATACATTTTAAAAACTGGTAATATGTATACAATTCGGGGTCATAATGTGAAAAATTCTAAAATTTTTAAAACTTTATAGATTCTAATCAATGATAAGGTCTATGTTTATAGACCTCATATTTTCAAAGAAACACACAATGTTACATCTGCACAACTGCACTCAAGCTTTTTGCACCAACATCTGCATGCAACTATGTCCTTGATGTTGCAATGTGATGTATGCAGCTAGACATGGGTTTGCAGAGTTCCAGCACTTTGCATGAGTATAGAAGTACACTGGCATAGATCACTTTTTAAATGGGACCAGTATTTCTTTCCCAGACTAAGTGAGTCAGTGCCCTTAGCAGACTTAGGATGTTGCCATTCTGAGTAGATGAATTTAGCTACCTGTTTGGGTAGATGATTCAGCTACACTTTTCCCTGATTTTACATGTGCAAATGTCCACTCAGTTGTACAATTAATTGTGTATCCCATTGCAGCCTCCTTTGAACATGTGACACATCATGATTGAATGCCAAGGATACAATAGTTTCAACATTTTGTGCTTTGTTTGTCTGGTAACTGTTTTTCATTAGAATGTTTTACTTATTATGGCACGATAATGCCCAAATGTTATAAAGGCATGTTGAAGCAGTAGACCCGTCATTAATGTATTGTGGAGTCTTCATTTGGAGCGCACATGTTTGTTCATTATGTATGAAAGCATGTTTCATGGAACTGTCACTGTTCATACAGAAATTAACACAATTCATTCAGTCCACAAATTTGAATTCCTATGTCCAATGAAAATCTAACCCTTGAAACGTGATGATGATGTATGTCAATGACATATTTGTTTTCTTTTTACTTTATTTATGTTAGTATCTTAATGTAAAAATAAGAAACAATGATCAAGCATGCTGGTGTCCAAGAAAACTTCATTTAAAGCAGTGATATTCAGAGGAATTGCTGAAATCTCGCTCTTAATTTTTCGAAGGGTCTCTAGGTTTTGCTGTTTAACAGATTCTGCAAACAATTTGACATATCAAATGATCTGTGATTTGTAGGCACAGTAAAAAGGAAGAAAATGATGTTTCATTCCATGTAAGAGATGGGTTTGAGCTGCAGAACTTGGATTGGGTTCAGCTTTTCAAATGCCCTCAGGAAGTGAGGCTAGATCTTTAGCTGGTGTGAAGGAGCTATAGGAATGAATGCCTTGTGAGCATTTTTTTTGCTGGGTTGTTGGCCAGGGTTTTTAATTTTAGCCCATTTCTAGTCATAACTGTGTTTTCTTGCTAATGTGGATTTAAATGAGACTGAATGTTATTTGAGCGTATCTTCTGATTAAGAGACAATAATAAACTCTTTGTAATCATTATGCTGCTTTTCTACAGGAAGCATGTGTCTGCCATCTTTATTTATATATACATTCACAAAACCTGCAAGCTTTTATAAAAAAGAAAATCTTAGACTTATATCTTAAAAGGCACATATTAATGTTGTCTATCTTGTATGGTGCCCAACTTGAGACACTGAAGCCCTGATATGAAGAAATGATGAGTGGTAGCCATTTCCAGTATTATTCTTAGTCTTTGAAAAGTAGAGTATTGTCTGTCTAGGAAAGTAAAATCCCCTTCTGCTTTTTCCATAATCTTTGTTGCTCAAGAATTTTGAGTTTTTTATTTTAAACTGATTATCAAGTCTGCAGTGCTTGCCTGCCTGTAAAGTAACTTTAAGTATTATAGGTTATTTATAACACTAGGATGTGCAAAAAATCAGTATTTGTGTTGCTGAAAAATACCCTTCATAAGGTAGCATTGTTTGGTTGTACAGTATTGAAACAACAATGTTGTTTTGTGTTTGAAAAAGCTAATAAGCTTTTATCAGTTCTTGCCTTTGTGGCTCTGTTATTACTTTTCAACACAGCATTTGATTTATCTGCTAACCATTCTTAGTCAAGTGTAACTGTAAACCCAAAATACACAGTTCACTGAAACTAGAGACATTCATTTTTCTTCCACAACTTTTGTGGCCTATTTAATGTTTTAAACATTTGGGTGATGCTATTTTGACCTTTTGAAAAACATTTTATATAATTCAGAGTTATATTGAACATTGAATAATTTTATATAATTCAGAATTATATTGTATCACACTGTACCTAGGTTGGGAAGAAATAAGTTTGGTAAGCAAAATATAAACAATTTATATTTTATAAAACATTAAATTAGAAAACTTGGTCAAAACAAAGATTTAACTGGGATTTTTCTAACCATTTCAAAGACTAAGCTTGATAAGCTTGTATGACACAGTGATAGTGTATCATACACATTTAAATTTTTCCCATTCACAGCAAATTCCATAAAAAGCATAGAATTTTTCACAAAAAAAATCAATTCTGTTAATAACTGTCGTTCATAAGATGGAAAAGGTCTGTATTTAAGTTGCCTCAGTTTTATAAAGATGGTAATAAAACTGCATCTGTGTGTTTGCCTGTGTATATTTCTTTTCAAGCGATCAGTGAATGTTTGCAGTTGGTAATAAATATTCAAGCACCTTGCAAATGTCCTACCAATTCCCTTTGCTGATCTGTGTGCGCCTGTGGGACTAGAATAGGAATGCATAATTTAAATATAAATTGCCTGATTTGCATATACAATTAGTCAAGCTGCAGCTTTGATCGTAAGCAAAAATTATTGTCCTGTATTGCCACTTAGATAGAATTTTAATTCACCTTGAATATTCAAAGTAAATTAAGTCCTAGCTGTCTCGTTGAAGGGTATGATTTTTCCCTCTCCCTGGTCCCTCCCCCTAACTACATTTATGGTAGAGTAATATAAGTGCATATTTTCAGCCTCATAAAAATAAAGGAATAAGTTTTATCTCATACACGTCTCCCCTTTCCCCCCCCCCCCCCCCCCCCCCCCACATATCTTTTTTGGGGCAGAGACTAGTTCATTCATGAATGGAGCCTACACTAGGAATTCTTTTAATCATTTTAGCAGTTCAGATAGTCATTTCGTTTTTCACATGTTGTACTGTAAAATAAGTACTTTTTGCAACACGGGGGTGAATTGAAATAACCCTTTAAGTGATGCTACTGTTATAAGAACATGATACCAAGTATAGTGTGCATCTCAGAACTTACAAGTTGGGGCATTATGGACTTTAGTATATGTCTATAAAATATATCAAAGCATCTGAAATACTGTACATACCCAAGGTAACCATAGCATACTTGTAGCGCTTATACTTTTAATCCACAGTAAAACATTTTATTAGAAATCTATGTTTTTAATTAAACAGAACATTTAATTAAGGTGCTTTTTAAGTGGGTGAAACAATTAAGTGCAAATACTTGAATGAAACATGTCATAATTAGTTTTAATAGAGTGTTAATTGGTACTAGGTTTGCCAAGTTAATAAGTACTGCTTATTAAATTTTCAATTAATCATTGTCATTTTGCTTTGAATAAAGATGAATATTAGATAAACTAATTCAGAGGGAGGATGGTTTCCTTGTTAATTAGAGCAGTTAATTTTTTAAAAGAAGAAATTACTTGTTTTAGTTGTTAATTGAAAGATTGTACATTAGTAAAGTCTTTGCACTCTTCTTGCATCAAAAACTGAAAACTAATTCATGACAGTTTGCATGGTAGAAGGTTTGGTACTAATTCATACTAGATACTTTAGTTGCACTGATTTGTATGATCTGAAAACAACACTTAAATTCAGATTTAAAGCAGTTGCTCACATGTTCAGTTTTAAGTGTGTGCCTAAGCTGTATTGACTTGTATGTGCTTCAGAAGTTTGCTGAATCAAGGACTATATTTTTCAAAATTAAGTCTTGAGTTGGAACAGAGTTTAGTAGGTAAATTGTAATACAAAGACACAAATGTAAGGATACAAATGTTAAGACACAATTTAAAGTGAAATTTTAGGTTTGAAATCAGAAAATTATATACTCAGGAAATAATATTAAAAAGACTAATATCAGATTATCTGTTTAATACTGATATTGTTTAAACACTTAAATGAATTCTGAGTGCATTTCCATTATTCTTTACATCACATGTTTATATACCAAAGAACCTGTTTGGCTAGATACAGACATTCAAAAAGCCCGAGTCAGAGTTGATCTAAATTATGCAGTTTTCTGTAAGCAGTGTAGTTTAGATCAGTAGCAAACAGAAAGCACAAGCACACATTCCCCACCCCCACCTCCTTTGAGGGGGGGCATATCTTAGACCAGGTTCTGCCACTTGCCAGTCCATGTGTGCCAAACTTGTGCTCTATCGTGGGTATAGACTAGTTTTGTGTGCCAGACTCCTGTTATGGGTATAGATCGGTTTCTGATCACTTATACTGGTAAGAGCGTAATGTCTGTACCTGTTAATGTCTTCAGGGATGTGTCCTGCCACTACATAATCTGTAAACCAAAATGTTACAGAGTTAAAAATGCCTACAATGTCACTTCACATTTAGTTATTTTTACAGAATTCTTTTGTAAGTGTAGTGCTCTTCAATATAAATTTCAAAGCAAGATATTCATAAAAGATACAAAAGGATAATTGAAGATCAGAGACTTCTAAATTTATAGAAATAATCACCATGATATCTGAGTACTTTGTATATTCTTCAGCTGATGGGGATAGAGAGGAAGACTAGCTAAGTGTTCTTGGGGAGTTAAGTTCTTCTTTTTCCTGCTCCAGGAAGTGAAGAGCCATAATATAGCAGAGTGTACGCTGCTTTTATGCATTAGTCCCTCTCAACAGCAGTCCTGTACCATTATGCTTACGAAGACTTCTTGACTTGTTTGTAGAGGAAGCTGTCAATGAAGTAAAACGTCAGGCGATGGCCGAGTTGCAAAAGGCAGTGTCAGAAGCGGAACGGAAAGCCCATGATATGATCACTTCAGAGAGAGCTAAAATGGAGCGCACCGTTGCAGAAGCCAAGCGACAAGCTGCAGAGGATGCACTAGCTGTTATCAATCAACAGGAAGATTCCAGTGAGGTAAGGACCACTGAAAAGGGGACTTCTATATTTACTCCCAAATAACCTTAGAAGATCCTAGCTGTCAGAGTCTGAATCTAGTCTGCTTCTTTCAGTAAACAATTAAGTTAAACAGTTGCTGTTCATTTGGCTTTTTTTTTTAATGTCATTGTCAAAAGCCAGGGATTAATTCCAAATAATCAAAGAAAATTAGGGTTGGGAGGACATCAGGAGGTCATCTAGTTCAACCTGCTGCTCAAAGCAGGACTACAACCAACTATATCATCCCGGCGAAGGCTTTGTCTACCTGGGTCTTAAAAACCTCAAAAAGTGAAAAAATATTGTGAATTAGCTTTAACCAGTTGGGTAGAATTAGGATATGAATAATGCATTACTAGGAAATTGGGAAACTTAGGATAGGTCTACACTGCAACTCATAGTTACATACAGCAGTGTATCTTTAACTAGGTAGGTCAGTAGGTACTGATGAAGTAGCTGCAGCAGCACGGAGCTCAGGGCAGGCTAACCATTGGAGTCCTTTATCCTGTTCCTCAGGCAGGTTTTGCAGGAAGCTCCGATCTCTGTGCTGCTGCCCTTAAAATACTCTCTAGAGATACCTGAACTAGTCATCTTAAGTACCAGAAGCCCCATAGTCATATTAGTAGCTCCCTGTCTGATTCAGTTAGCCATCATGGCTATATTGCTTCTAGTACCTAAGCTAGTTCTGTGAGTTCTTTCAGAGATCATGGTGCACTGCACTGATGTGTTACCAAGCTAGCAAATTTTAAACTGGGTCAGATATACCTGAGAAACATCTTTGATAGCAGTATATACATAGACTGTATATTTTTAGATCTAAAAGTGTATTATTTTAAAACATTTTAATCTACTCAAATTGGTGATTGACGTAACGGAGAGTGAACGATAAATCATAATGACATTTTAACTTCCGAAAAAGGCGACACTGAATAGGCTTGGAACAGGGTAGCTAAAATGTAGTTTATTTGCCTTTCACAGGCTTACTGTAGGAAAAGATGTTTATGAGGAGTTGCAAACCTGCTTCCTTAATTAGAATGTATTACTTCAACCACTGGGGTTGTGTGAGAGCTGAAAGATAGGACAAGTGTATTGGCAGGAAGAAAAATAAAACAACAAGAAACAAAGATTAAATAGAAACGAGCATTTTAAACCTCAATTCATACCTGAATCTGATGGAAGCTTTAATTTTTTTTGTGGGATGGGCCATATGGTAGCATATCCAGAGGAACTCAGGAGTGAAAGAACAGTACACTTATTGATGGTGATCAAGAGTTTTGGGTAAAACGAAATTCTGTATTTTTTACAGAAAGAAGAAGTGCTAAAATCCACATCAAAAGGAGACCCTTGATTAAAAAGTCCTTATAACCTGACACAGTTTATTCCAGTTAAATATTACCAAAAGATCATCTGTTACATAATCCTCATTTCTGGATTGCCACTTTATGAAGATCCCATAATAAGATATTGTAACTGAGGGACATTATTCTCATAAACTACACAAAGATTTTAAAGAAAGTAAAGAGATTTTTTATGCAAGTCAGGGATAGGCTACCCCTGGCACGTGTGCCAATTAGTGGCACATGGGGACATTTTCCTCAGCATGCTAGGAGGTGTGCGAGGAAATTTTTTTTAGAAAAACTGTTTTGTGTTTTTTTAAAGCTGCTGCTCTCTGGAGCAGCCACAAGTTCCAGCACCATGGCAGGCACTGGCGGCACAGGCAGGGACACAGCCTACACCCTGCAGACCCTGCCTCCTGGCCCTGGCCCGCACCCTCCAGCCTGGCCCGGCCCTTTGAGGGGAGCTGTGGGTGGATGAGGCTGAGGCCCGGGCAGGCACTGCGGAGAGCCCTTTGCTGGAGACTCCCAGCTGGCTCAGCCTTGAGCGCTGCCTGCCACAGCTGTTCCCAAGGCCTGGGTGACTCCTGCAGCTGGGCCTTAGCACCAGGGGCAGCTCTGCCCCACGTGCACTGCGCACAGGGAGGCCAAACCTAGAGCCTGGCGTCATGCCCTGGCCAAGCAGCGTCCCCTCACAGGCACGGCAGCTGAGGCCCATCCCCATGGAGATGCATGGGCTGAGCCCACCTCGAGTGGTGCTGGGCACAACTGCCCACTGCGGCCCAAGTCTGCGGGGCCCTGGGGTAGCCCCCACATCCCACCCAGCCCCTGCTCTCCTCTGGTTGCCATCTTTCCAAGGGCCCAGCCGAGTCAGCCTGCCTGTGGCACCGCCCCCTGTACCTACTTCTGCTTATGCCATCCAGGCCCTACCCTGAGCACCTGGCCCCAGTGCCTAGCATCCTGGTACTGCCCCTGCCCAGGTGGGATGTGGCGCCTGTCTGCCTGAGCCTTGCTGGGCCCGCCCTCCCAACCCTGGACCCCCAGGCTCCCCCTACTCTGAGACTGTCAGGGTGGCCTGAGCGCCCCTGCCCTGGCGTCTGCTGCTGCGGTGTTGCTGCCTCCCTCCCGTGGATACTGCCCTGGACCAGCGGGCCCAAGCCACAGCCAACAGCAATGGGAGACCTAGGCGGCGAATGACACACTCTCTTTCTCTTTTTCCTTGTTTTCTCTCTCTCTTTTTTTTCTTTCTTCTCTCTTTTTCTTTCCCCCCTCTTTTTTCTCTCCTTTTCTCTCCTTTTTCATGTTTATCTTCTTTTTATCTCTCCTTTTCTTTTCTCTCTCCCTCTTTCTCTCTTTTTTCCCTTTCTTCTCTCTTTTTCTTCTCTCCTTTTTCTGTCCCCCTTTTCCTTTTCTCTTTTTATTTTTTCTTTTTCTCCTTTTTCTGTTTACCTCTTTCTCTCTTTTTTATATCTTCTCTCCTTTTTTCTTTCCTCTCCTTTTTCTCTCTCTTCTCTTTCTTTTTCTCTTTTTTTCTCTCTCTCATCACAACATACTTAAAAAAACCCAAAAAAACACAAGAACAAAGGTGGTATATGAAGGGTTTTTTTTATTGTCACCAGATTTAGAATTTTTAGAAAACCTATTATTTCCTTCTTTTTTTCTTTTTTTTTAAAGCAACATTTAGGTTTATTAACTATAATAATATGCAGTGCATCCCACCATGTATCCACTACCTCAGTTTTGTTTTTCTGTCATGCCGACACTCTGGCACGTTACAAGGTAGACATTTAGGTTTTTTTCAGCACTCTGACCAAAAATGTTGCCTACCTCTAATTTAAGTTCTACATACTGCAGAGAATGAGAAAAAAATATGTAATACTATATTTTGTGTGGATATATATTTATGTACATTATTGTAAAAACATTTTTAACACACTCTATTAGCTAGTAATGTAGAAGAGTGACTTAGGTTGAAAGATTCAAATTAGCTAGTTGCAACACTGCAAAAGTCACGAGCAGATAAATCGGTGGCATACTGCAATACGTAGCCATAATTTGAGTGAGCATAAGAGTTTAATTCATACCAGGCTTTTCTGGAGATGAAAGACTATTGTGGGCTCATTGGATGCCCTGAGTTCCTCCTTAATGTGTAACAGATGAATAACAAGGAGACAAAAGGAATTGATTTTCAGCCTCTGAAAGTTTCTCAGGAAGAAAGAGACTAGGGGAAGTGTACATACCCTTTAAGTACTAACTGTTCCACTGCACAATTAAATGAGACATAAATTCAATTTATTGGCATTTTGTAGCTAAGATATTTGAGGATTTTTTTTCCCTGTAGTATGTTCACAGGAAGAGTATTTGTTATGATCATTAAAGTGCTTTCATTGTCATGTGTACATACAAGAGATTCTTATTATGAAAGCTGAAATTTCAAATGTAAACGCCTAAGAGGAAATTGTAAATTATGTCTGTTTAATGAGTCAATGTACAGTAGGATGGCTAGCTGCAACACTTGTCTGCCAATATACAGAGACCTTTCTACTACAAATACATGTATATTGCAAGAGGCGCATAGTGTGCATTCTGAAATTTTACCCCTGAACAATAACATTTCAGAAAGTGGCAACAGAGTAATAGCCATCTTTATTTTACATTCTAGTTTTATTTCCAACCAGGATGACAACTTCCTGCAAATATAAATAAAACAATGTTTTTTTTTAGCCTAATGTCAAAGAGATATGGATAAAAAATGTATCCATTATAGCCAGGATCCTGTGTATAAACAGTGTTTGCAGGCACTCAGTGTTCACAGCCCTGTTTATCCTATCCTTAAGGAAGAATCAGCCCTCCTAGCAAGATCAAGCCACATCTTAAAATATAGTTTAAATAAAATCTAGTGGCTTCATCCCATAGCTGTGATTTTATATAGGCATTAATGGTAAAATCAGAATCCATAGGATTACTCAGATGTGTGAGGGCTGTAGAATATATGAAACCAATTCAGCAGAAAAACTAAAGTTTGGTTCAGATTTTTGTGTGCACACATATTTCTATGTATATTACAGAGGGGGCTGGTTGCAATACCTACCTCTAATAGCTAAGATGTATTAGGTCCTCAATTTCAATTGCTCTTAATTTTACCAAATCCTAGAAATTGAGTGAGATTTCCCATCATTACCCTCTGACTTCTTTGGAAAGGTATAAAAATTAGTCAGTAACTTGTTTGAATAAGATCAGAGCAAAATAGTTTTGCCAGTGTTTTACAATGGATGGGGGCTTTGGGGGGGCGGTTATTGGGGGTGGGGTGGAAGAGTTCTAGTGAGATTCAAGTTTGAGGCAAAAATAGAAATGTCTTCTAGTGTCAGCATAGGTTCTTGCTCTTGCAGTGAAAATCCACCCTTATTTGGTCATGGTATAACCCTCTTTGAATTTCTATCTGCACAGGGTCAGTAGAGCTGGTTACAGGCATGGTGCTAAAATCTTTGAATTTACATATACAAATATGTATGAATTTACATATTCACTAAACCTGTTCCAGCCACACACAATTTCCTATGTTCTTAAAACATTTAAGCATAATTTCAGGCAAAGTACAGCTCTAGACGTAGGGGTGATATTAACAATAGCTGTTGCCTCTCTCAAGTC